GCGCCCAGCCCAGGTGAGCGCCCGCCCCGGCTCCGGGACCCCGACTCTGCCCCCGGGTTCCTGCCCCGCAGCCTCCGCACCCCGGGCTAGCGAGCCAAAGGTCTCGGACCGGGGGCCAGCACTCTGGAGGCCGGGGGTAGTCGGCAGGGGAGAGAGAGAGACGAGCTGGAGCGAGAGCGCCCCCCTTCCTTCTCCCTCCCTTTGCCGGCCGCGCGACCCTACTGTGTGGCATTCCCCATTCCTGGGCAACCGGTCTGGTGGGGGGACCTGGACGGTGCCTGAAGGCTGCCTGAAAGGACATCTCAGATAGAGGAACTGCACGTGCAAAGGCAGGGAGAGTGCACAGACGGTTTGTGCTTGAGCCCCGTGGGGGAGGAGGGGAGGACCCCTAGCGCCCCAAACTCGAATGCCTGACTTGGATGCCGTCTGGAGGAGGGCTGGAAGCCGCTGAGGGCCTGAGCTGGGAAGGAGCCTCCCCAGGTGGGTACGGGAAAGGCCCATGTGACCCTTGGTGAAGAGTGGGACTAAGGGGAAAGAGGGGGCAATGCAGAGGAGCGGGGGGAGGCTCCTCTCCAGCCTGTACTAACTGGGGCCCTGGGAGGGGGTTCTGGGACAGGACACAGTCCCCTAGTAGGTAGGTAGCGCTCAGGCACTGTTACAATTTGTTTGCATTGGGAAGCTTGCAGGCAAGGGACAGCACTCTGCAAAAACTTGGGGTCCTGCCCTGGCCAGTGTGGCTCAATCGGTGAGGGCACCCTCCCGAGCACTAAAGGGTCTCCAGTTTGATTCCTGGTCAGGCACATACACAAGTTTGGGGTTTGATCCCCATCAGGGGGCATATGGGAGGCAACTAATAGATGTTTCTCTCTCACATTGATGTTTCTCTCTCTCTCCCTTCCTCTCTCTAAGAAAAAAAAAAAAAATCAATTAAAAAACCCCCACACATATCCTTGGGAGAAGATTTTTTAAAACCCTCAACTTGGAGTCCCCTCTTGCCATGCCCCTGGCAAGGACTTTTGCCTTTGAATTGGCGTATCTGAGACTGCAGGAGGCAGGAGGACTCCAAGCTGGCTTAGCACACAGTAGGCCTGGAGTAAGCCTGGAAAAGGTTCCATCCCCAGCATTTTCTGTTTCCAGGCCCAAGGCTCTGGAGGGTCCAGACACCTGGACACCTGGGAAGGGAGGAAACAGCCTAGACAGGCATCTGGTGGCAAGTTGAGGTCCCACATTTTCTGGGACCTGTGGTCCAGCAGGTGAAGCCTGACACCAAGCTGGAAGGAAGTGGGCATGGCTGAGCTAAAGGTGAAGCCAGGACCTGGGGAGGGGCCTCTTTGTGCCCAGGGAGGTACAGGCAGTGCAGATGGTGACCATACTTTGCAGACCTGCCTTGGTGATGACTGGGGGAAAGAATATGGGTATGGCCAGGCAGCCTTTGGGTGCCACTGCTTCCTGGCCTATAGTGAGTGCCACTAGGGCAGATAAGATAAGATCAGGTGCCAGGCAGTAAGTAGTCCTTCCTCAACCTTTCTCTTCTATTTTCTTGACCCCCTTGCTCTCAGGTACCCACCCAGGGTCCTTGCTGGGATCTGGGCTAGACCTAGTAGGCCCTCAGCCTCACATCAAGTTAGACTTCAGGAAGAACTTTCAGGGGAAACAAATGGGATGACTGTGGGATAGACTGTGAGGAGGTCAGTTGTAAACAGGGCAGCTAAACTTTTGTTCTGAGTCTTCCAAAGTCCAGTCTTCTGGATGGCTCATCCTGTGGCCTTGAAGTCTCCTTGGGTTCAGGGACCTCTTTGTTGACCCAGTGACCCCTCCCCCAGCCCTGTGGCTTGCAGGGTGATATGTTGGCTTTTTGGGTCCCTGCCCATCTTGGAATTAAGGCAGGGGTGGGGGGTGGGAGGCCACCCAGATGCCCCTACCTGCTGCTTGACCTTGGCAAGTCCTTGGCCCCTCAGTTTATCCATCTGCTGTTAGGCATGACCTCAGCATCATGGGCCTGGTGGGCATTTGTAAAGAGTGCAGGTGGGGGTGGGAGCTCATGTCTGCTGGGCATGGTCTGTGGCAGGACTGTGTGCCTAGCCTCGCTTTCCCCCAAGCCCATCAGGCCCGGGCTTGTGGCCCACTTCTGTTCACCATGGAGCTGGGTTTCCCTGGGGACCAGTGGACTGGCTCAGCCCCACCCCCTAGTCCCTCCTGTCCACAGCTTACACTGGGAGGAGGGGTGGAGGCTGGGCTGCCTCCTGGACCCCTGCCCCCTTGCCCTGCCTTCCAGGGCCTGGCAGCCTAGGTCTACTTCTGGGCTGGGAGCAAGAAGCATTGGCCTCCCTTAAAGGAGGTGGGTATCCAGGGGCTGGAAACCAGGGTGGGTGCAAGGACCAGGGAGAACTTAATGTCATCCCATTGTAGGAAGGGGAAATCCCAGGACCAGGAAGGCTCTGCTATGATCTGCGGTTTCATCCCAGCCATGGTGGCCTCCCTGGAGAAAGGAGGGTCCCAAGGCTCCCAGGCGGCAGGATTTTGAAGGGGGAGCAGAAATTGTGGGGGGTAGCTCCTGGACAAGGCAGCTGGGGGGCTGGACCTAAAGTTTGGCAGAGGGGCTCCCCTGGCAGTGGGCCCAGCCCAGGCAAAGGTGGGAGTGGGGAGTGAGGGTCCTGAGCCTGGAGGCCTCAAAGGGGAGGTGCCCTCCAGGGTCCCATTGTTCCTTTGGGGTCTGGCTCCCCTATTTCAAATATTTCCCGCTTCCAGTGTGGGCCTCTTCCAGAAGCCCCTCCCCACACTGTGTCTATCTCTCTGTGTCTCTACCCACATCCCCCATTTAAGCCCTGATCCCTATAGATGCCTCCTCTTCCCCACCCCTATAGGTCCTGAAGGCAACTCCAGCTGGGATGGTGACGCCAGCGTTTCTAAGGGCCATGGGGGGTCCAGCCCCACTGGGGGCACCCTAGCCTCCCACAGCCCACCACCTGTGGTTCTGCCCCCTGCCCATCTGTGGGCCGCTCACCATGGGTGGCTGCTTCTCCAAGCCCAAGCCAGGTACCTCCTCTCTTCTTGCTTCCCCCCTCCTTCCACCCTCCACCCTCCACCCTCCTTTCCTCCTCTCTCTATCCCTCCTCCCTCCTCCTGCCACCTTCCTCCTCCCCCTCCCCCCGCTGCCTCAGAAGTAGGTCAAGCTGGGTGGCAGCCTTAGCGAATGTTAATGCGCTGCAGGCAGGAGGGGCTGGGGGGCCTGGAGCCATACTTCTGCCCCCCTTCAGTGACCCTTCCTCTTTATTTGGGACTTTGGGTGCTGGTGGTGGGAATAGCAGCTGAATCTTTCTTAGAAAGGGGAGGGGAGGGTTCCTCCTGCTGCAGGGTAGGGAAGGGCAGCTGTGTACCCCAGGGCCAGGCAAGGGGACTCAGGGGACAGACACCTTCAGCTGATGTGTGACCCAGGGTATGCAAGGTACCTCTCTGAGCCTCACTCTCCCTCTCTACAAAATGAACCTCTCAGAGTTGCTGTGAGAGTGGAGTGGACAGATCCCAGCCCTCTTCACGTCTTCTGACCCCTGTGTGACCCTGGGCCACCTCCTCAGCCTCTCTGGGCACACTTTCCCATTTGCACAGGAAATCCCCACCCTATCTGGCCCAGGGAGTTGCAGCGCAGGGTGGGGGCGTTGCAGGGCAATGGCAAGGCCTGGGTTTGCTCTCTGATGGAGACTCTTCTCCGCTGGGCTCTCCTCCCTCTGGCCCTTTCCCTCTTTTATTCTCACTATACTCAGGAAAGCAAGGTGTGTGGGCCTGCCGCAGATGAAGAAACTGAAGCCAAGAGAGGCCTCTCTAGTGCCCAGCCAGTGCCCCGCCCGCCCTGTCCAGGCCACCCTGCCCACTATGGCTTGCCCCATCTCCCCTTACCTGATACCCATCGGCTCCATTACCTTGGAACGCCTGAGCCTTTTCTCCTTTTCCTGGGTCTGAGGGGGAACTCGGGGGCAAGAGGAGATGTATGATGCCCTGCCAAGCAGGGGGACTCACCCACACCTGCCCTCCCCTCACTCCTGTGCTGTGGACATCCAGCTTGGGCCAGATTCCACCACCCTCCCTGCCACCATGTATGACCTGGGTAAATGATGCCCATTGTCTTGACCTCAGCCTTCCCCCCATCAGAAATGGGCAGGAGGATGCTGGCTGGCTGGCCCCAACTGGCAGGAGGCCCTGGGCAGAAGATGCCACCTGTAGTTTCCTTTAAAGGAACACAAAGGGCTGGTCTGCCTGAGACCCTTGGCCCCGGACTCCTAGTATAGGAGCTGGTCACACTTACCACACCAGAGGCAGTGCTAAGAACTTGGCTTCTTGAATCCAAATCCAGCCTCCCTTCCTGAGTGTGTGGTCTTGGGCAGATGACTTCACCTCTCTGAGTCTTTGTGTTCTCACTTGTAGAATGGGGCTAATAATAGGTAAGCTGTTGTGCTTAGCAGAGGGTCTGGCACATAGGCAGCACTTGCAAAATGTTATTATGTCCCCTTTTGGTGCTGGGCTGTCTGCAGCCAGGACTCCCCTGTGGGGCTAGGGTGGGAGGGCAGGAACTCAGGCCCCAGGCACACGTCCTGGGCAGGTCAGGGGTGAGGCTCGGGGAATTGCAGGGTGTAGGAGTGAGAGCATTTGACCCTGAGGGTTTAGCTGAGGTCAGAAGGGACCACAGGAAAACCAGAACAAGTGGAAGATCTTTGTGCAAATTCTTCATTTTCTGCCTTGCTCTGCTTTTGGCTCAAAGCACATAGGCACACACTTCCTGAGCTCCCTCTGCACTCCCTGTGCTTCAGTGGCATTGTGCTCCTTATAGGAAGTGTCCCAGGCCAGACCCTTGCTAAGCTCAGGACTAAGAGGAAGTGCACCTCTCAGTCTCTGGTCACCTGCCTTTCATTAGGCTACAAGTGCTACCTAAAGGCTTTTCCTCTTCATCACATCACGGCTACCAGGAAGCTCGGAGCTAACCATTAAGTCCCTATTACCCAGGCTCATCTGTTGAGCTTCTGCTCTGGGTTACATATTACATATATTATCTCCTTCAGCATTCACTGTCACCAGTGAGTAGCTGGGAATCATGGAGTTAGGGTTGCTTTGGCTCTATGCGTGAGCAGAT